GGGCTTTTGGTCGTGTTCCTACTGCATTGATTGCATTAGTGAGATGGAAACAAATTTCCTCGGCATACTCTTCAACCCTCTCGATTGTGTCAAGAACTGGTGGTGGTCTGACCCACTGTGCAATTACCTTGGCGTATCTGGGTAGCTTATCCTTTGTTACTCGGAGTTTTGCCTTTTCGGGTCTCATCACTGAGTTGCAAACTGGAATTTGTCCTCGGATAGGAAAGTGATCGCTGGTGACACATCCACGACGATCTACCCAAGCACGGGCGCCGTCGACATTACTCCAAACTAGATCTAGCGTGTTTCCAGCTCGGTGAGTGGGCTCCCCAATAATATGACAGATCAAATGGTGTTTGTCTGCCCATTTCTCGATCATTTCTCCTTGTCCGTGAGGACGTTCCACGCCAGGTTGCCAAGCCCAATATACCGAGTTAAAGTCCCCAGCAGCGACGGAGTTTGGCGGTGGAGTCCAGTTGATTAGTGGCTGGATAGCTGTCGAGTCATTGGGTGCCTTGTAGACATTGAGAAAAGTAATGCCGTTCACTTCTACCCAGCAATAGTCTCCTGTAGACACAACATACGGAAAGACCTGTGTTGCCGATATCTTTTTATCGTCTATTCGGGTATAGGTCACAGCCCTCGGCCTAACATTTTCGCCGCCGTTAGGCAGATGATAGGTATATCCTGGGTGATCCTTTGTTGTGCTCTTTTGTTTATTCCACAGAGGTTCTTGAACAAGAACTACGTCAATACCCAGCTCAAATGCTCGGGCAAGCGCAATATTTTGCGTTGAGCCCCCTCTACCTACGTTTATTGACATAAAGCTTAGAGTAGGAGAGAGGCTCGAAGAGACCCGTGGGGTGCCCTTCACAAAGATTTTTGCTGATTTGATGCCTCATCGACCTCGGCTACAGTCGCTGTAGCGTCGGACATGAGAACTTCAAAACAGTTGGTCGATTTGAAACCTGGCTGGTTAGTATTTGACGCTACTGCGGCTGCTGTCATCGCTGCTTCTGCGCGTTTGACAGCTGCTTTGGCCCGAGTGACTGCTGCGAATTCGCGTTGGCTAGCCTGCCTTATAGTCTGAAGGTTTTCCCTGGAGGCCATTCCAGACTTTGTTGGACGAGCTAGACAGTCCCGACTATCTGACCTGTGTGGACCTCCACAGTTGCGGCACTTGGTGTGTGCCTTGCACTCCGCGATGGAATGCATAGTTGAAGTACAATTCCAGCAGGCTGGTGCGCGCGAGCAGCCTCTGGTGCCATGGAATTGTAGGCATCTTTTGCACTGGTTGATGCTTTGACGAGGCTGGTGGCGGACTGCAATCCCAGAGTCGTCGAAAAGTCGGAAGCCTGGCCGAGGGATCGATGATTTTTCGAAAAGGGCTACCCATGACTGGTATGGGGCTCCAAGTCGGCTTTTCCCATGTGGGCGAACTTTTAACGGAACAGTCTTGGTGACCCTGACTATCTCGTCTATTACCATCTCTTCAGTGACGATTACTCTACCCATTATTGTATTAATGGCAACTGGGACTGTTGCGATTCTAAGTGAGCCCAGGTCCGATGCTTCTTCCAGTATGGCATCTTGCTGGATGAGGGACCCAGCTAGGCTTAATATGATGGCGCGTGCCTCTTGGTTTTCGGCTCTAATTGCGAAGCCAGTTGGAACACGGTATACGTGCTCAATATTGGCTTGAGGAATTTCAAGCACTTTTGCCACAGCCTCTCTAACACCAAACGGTGATAGCTTTCTCCAAGGGTGTTCATTTCCAAGGCGAAGAAACAAGCGTTCATCTTTTGTGCCTGATTGCGTTGGGACGGTCGGGTTTTTTGAAGGTCGTGTCGAGTTTGCCGCCTTTGGCATAGCCTGTGCGACTTTTGTAGCTGCCAGGGGAGTCTTTATACCGGTGCGGGTGATTGACGCCCAAGTGGTTTTGGCCCGGGAGACTTTGTCATGAGTCACTTTACTTTGTGGCTCATCCTGCTTTTTGGCAGTACGTTCTATAATCTTGCTGCCAGTAGCCTGGCTTTCGGGGCGTGGGGGAAGTGATGGGAGGACTGTACCTGGTCCCGCGATCATAAATTGAGCTATTGCAGCTCTAATTTAGACTTTCATAGAGTCTATAAATTGAACACTCGACCCTTTGGATAGGGGGGACAGAGCATTCTCGACACCGTTTATTGCAGCGGTGCAAATTTTTACATTTTCCGCAGTTTTTGCGGCCCGGCGTTCCTCAGCCTCAATCAAGGCTCTGAGTTCGGGGGGGCATTCCTCCGTATGCCTGCCTTGATTTCCACTGTGAGAAGGATTCTCTTCTGTGGTTCCTGGTGTATGTTCCAGGGGGTTTGGGGTGGATGCTGCACCTTTTGCCTTGTTAGCATCTGCAATCGCAGCCCGCCTCATAGCTGGCACAGCGACTTCAATGAGAGGAAGTTTATGCTGTCCGGTAGTCGCTGTCCCTAAATTGTTGCGACTCGTCGCTGCATTTTCAGCTCCGGTCGCATCTGGCTTGGAGTGAATTGAATTTGGTAGTCTTTTCAGATTCTTAAGAATCTTGTCAATGTCAAAGTTGCCAACATCTATCATATCGCAATCTATGGTACTTTCGTCGATTAATTGGTCTATGTTCATCTCTTGAACGGCAGCCAGTGGGCCCAACTTGACGCTTGCTTTCTGTCGAGCAACGTGTTTGAGGTGCTTGCGGTTATCTACGATGTCTTTCGCCCGCGATGGCTTACTGCGAACTGGGGGCATGTTGGTAGCCTGCCAGTCGCTCACAAATTTTGAATTAAGGGCGTACGATATCACGATATCGAGAGAGGGAGGGAGAAGGGGAAAGGGTGAATATTCGAAAATTCGAATTTCAAAAAATTGTGTGTGTGTGTTTGTATTTATTGTGCTACTTGAGTCTATGACTATCTAGCACATTGGGCTCCTCTCTGACACAGGCCACACCTTGTACAGTGCTCCTATCTTCTTTTGTTACTTGAAAGATCATTGATATATTCCCCTTGATGAATAGTGTTAGAGTATAGAGAAGACTTCGGAGTAAGAATTGCCTGAGAACGGAGAAGAAGTTCAGTTTGCTTAATTGACTGATAGACTACAGGTATTATGATATATACAGTGGAATTACAAGAAATAGAGGTTACCCGGAACCGACTCGACTGCAGAAATAAGTGGGACCCCGGACCAGAAAATAATTATCCACTGACTGAGAATACTGGGTCACGCAATAGAAATACGAACAAACCAATGACTGTATTTGTTCGGGAAGAATGGGATTCAAGCAGACTCTAACGTTGAGTCCGATTGGATCAGAAGTGTGGAATCCTGCCCGAACTCAGAAATATAGTTCAGGCAAGATGCATGCAACCACATTGGTCGATAGAAAGAAAAGCAGGAAACTGTATTTCCAACAAATAGCCATTCAGCTCAGTATTTACTCGTGGAATTCAGCCACCTTTTCCACGGAACCTTCTACCCAAAAAAAATAAAAATGGTAGCAATGGAAACTGCGTGCGCGGGAAAAAGTCTCAAAAAACCTGTAGCCCCTGCCAGGCGAGGCCTAGACACCGGGACCACATGAGGTGCGCATATTCATCTATGTCTCCCTTCTCTCCAACAGTTCAGGCCGACTTGATCCAATCGGCCATCTCCGAATCGGGTGCTGGCTACGCTCCGGATACTCATTGGATGGCATCTCCTCTATGATCAAGGGTTAGTGACGAGTAGAGCTCCGACACTACCATCTGATCTGATCGTGGTTAGCTTCATGATAATGGTGATAGGGGAATGTGTTGAGAGGTGAAGACGATACAGACCGCGAAAGCGATTGGGAATCCTCTTCGAATTGAGGACTTTGTCACTCAATCTCGGCTCTGCAGACTCTACAGTGAGAGCTGGAGGTTCGTAGGGGACACCGCTGACAGGTGTTGAGAATAGTCCCCCGAAATAGCGGGTTTCTGGACGGTTAGACTTGGTATGATTCAACACAAAGGTGAAGTCTGAGGTGGTCCGGTCATTAAAGTGGGACGAGGTTTATGTGTACTTCACGGGAGTTAACCTGATCCGGCCCAACCCCACACGTGCTTAAGCTCCAATAGGAGTGCAACGGTAGCCATGTAACCTAGCACGTTAATGAACAAAACAAAACAAACACTCACTAAACACCCCACGGTTTAGTTCCATAGTCACGTGCATATGCTATGACGCGATCTAAAGCATATATCATGGTAAATTACATGGATAACACATCAGAGAGCTAGAGGGTTTTTTTGTATTAGACTTTAATTGCGTATGCAGCTATCTAGCCATGACACAATATCAATAAAATTAGATGATAGATGACTCAATATAAAGGAAGGGCACTCATGCCTCCGATTTCATTTGCAAATACTACTGGGAAATCATGGCGGCTTGAGCCGGGGGTTCGTAGAGGACACCACTGACAGGTGTTTAGATCAGTCCCCCCAGTGCTAATAAAGATTTAATATGTCGAAACAGGATTTGTTTCTGACTAGATACCATGGATAGAAAGTATTTACTACCCAGCTCCCCCTTAACACATATTAAACCATGATCCATCAGACTACTCAGGTCATAAAGTTTTGCAGCCTCCTGACCTGCACAACATTAATTATGCCAGTTTGAATCAGGCTACCAAGACATGCAAAGATATGAAATTTCTAATCTCATCCTATTTTTGAGACAATCTTATTAACTGTGTCGCCGTGCTATGTGCTATTACTACATTTATCGATGGCCCTTAATAGTAGCTTAATCTCCAAATTCACTCTATAAAATTAAGGAGTAATTTCGTATGAATGACATGTTCGCTATAAGATATCAATTGATGCAGAGTAAAAGGGCTTAGAACACACATCTTTTCGTGGACGAGCCACAATCAAGAATCATACTACATCTACAACAGTATTGTCCTAGGTTTGAATCATTTCCTAGACTCGACGATTATAGTAGCTATACGAAGTGCCATGTCAAAATCAATTCATTTATTCTTTGCTTTGATTGGATTATGTGAATATTTCATTTCTGCGACAGACGTATCAGTAGAAGCAGCTCTTCCTGGAAAAGTGAACGCATACATGTGTGATACGACATTCTTCTCGATGAAATATCTAACACAAGAAGCTGAGAATGCATATCGAAAATTTACTCATCCGTCTTATAATACCCGTTTTCCCGCATTATTTGATGACACACTGCTTTTCAAATTAGATACACAAATTCTTCTATCGTGGCCCATAAAGGCTTCGAGGATACCTCACAAAGCTAGTAGGTCCAATATTTCACCAGTAACTAAATTTTTATCTGTGCTTCTAACTTGTGAATCAGGCTCACCGGATATTTATCGTCTTATCATCAATACTGACAAGGATGTAATCGGTGTCGTGTCTATAATTTATCAGAGTGATGCGCAGAAAGGTTTAAAGAAAGGTTTAAAATATCACAAATGCAAGCCAGTGTACCTCTCCAGCAGGCCCACTAATGAACAGAGTAACTTTGAGATCCTAAACTCTCTTCAAAGCTTTGAATTCATCGGATACTTATGTGACTCTACACTCATAAGAAAAGAAGCTTTTGTATACACACGAGAAATAATTGAAAAATATGACCCGGTATCTAGCATTGGCAGTAGAAAATTTATCAGTAAATTTTCAAGATATACTGGTAAACTTAGTACTAGAGCTGATCTCTATCAGTATCCTTTGCGTAATTTGAGTACCAAAGGCCAACCAACAGGTATACCCATGCGTTTGAATGATATTCATGGATTCTAAAATGTAACCTAGGTCAGGTTAGCGGACATCGAATCATTTACCATCATGACCAGAAGAAGAAAATTGTGTACGATGGAGTCATCAGTAAGGGTCCAAAGGAAGATTTTTGTGCCGAAGTATGGTACATAATACCACTCCAAGATCGCACATGTGAAAACTCATTAATAAAATCCCAAGACGATGATCTTTCGGGCATCGATATAATGGTCCCCTGCGGTACCCAAGAATTGAGTATGACAACTATTCAGCTCTTCCAATTTTTTGGTCAATCTCAGGTGCGACAAGTTCAAAGTTATAATCCAAGGAATTACCCAACATTACAGGAAGATATATGGCTTTGGCCCATAAGTTTGCCAGAGACGTCTTTAGCAAGTAAATTGATTCTCACACGTCTCATTTCAGAATACTAACACTAAGGGTCTAGATTCACATTTCGCATTCGCAACAGCTTACGACTCGAGTTCAAATTTTATTGGAATTTATCACGCACCTCGAATCCATGGACTAGTCTTAACCTACAAACCATGTTTTTGAATTTTATAATTCTTAAAGATACTACTGAACACCAGGGGAACCGTTTCATTGGATCTACGGCCATACTATGTCACACACATAGTATTGTAGTCAATGTGCGTGTCTGAGAAATGTGGTAGAGTATATATCGGCATACCAAGGACTAAGTAAAGGAGTTCAGGTATTTGTGCATTTTACTATATGCATTCTTCGGCCCTGATGGAACAAGTAAATTTCATTATCTCTGATCTATTTAATTGCCCCTCATTTCTGAAAGATTTGCGTTACTTTTGTGTAAACATTGTGTGCTTTCCGCAGGTTTTATTCATAGCTAGGAGAGTTCCAGTCTTTCCTACTTGATTCCCATTCATCTATGGTTTTCAGGTGACCAATATTCGGGAATAGCTTAGCGAGCTCACGGTTTGAGGAGTTTCGTTTTCTGAGCCTCCACATAGCAATTGCGCATGCAGCTATCTAGCTTTGACTTAATATCAGAGAAAAATTAAAAAGTAGATGATTCAAAATAAAAGAAAAGCACTTATGCCTAGGATTTCATTTGAAAGTTCCACTAAGAAGTCATGGCGGCTTTTTCTCCACCCCCAGTCAGTGTCATGAGTACGAGATGAATTGCATTCCGAGGGGTCAAGGGTCCAAGAGTTCGAAAATTCAAGAATTCAAAAGTTCGATAGTTCAAGAGTTCGACATAAGATAAGATTCAATAGTTTCTAAAGAGTTCCTAAGAATACAAGACCATAACCTGCCGAACCAAAGTTATCCCAATTATCCATTATATATTCCTCTATATCGTTCTCGAACTTTCCGGTATACTCTCATACAGGATAGAATGGATTAGAATAGGATAGTCTAGACAAGTACATATCAGAACAGAACAGATTAGAATGGAATGAAATAGAGTAAGATAGGTTAGAACAGAACAAATTAGGCTAGAATATAGCAGAATGGCACACATATATTCGTACATAGTTCCTATTGATTTGGAACAGGCCCTTGATCCGTGACAGTCAGCCCTTATTCGAAAATACCAACCCAGAGAAACATTTCATAAACCTTGAGTCATCCAGACTTGCCTCCATAGTATATTTGTCTCTGCGCGAGATGTGGCCTCAGGTGTTTCCAAGTTGAGTTTTACCCAGGCTGCTCAAGTTATACCAGAGAACATCACCAGGAGGCGGATCACAACACCTTCCATCGTTTGCTTGTGTTTATAGTGTCAGCTGCACTCTCGCAAGCGAATTCTTGGCGCGCACAAAGCTCATTTTGTAAAAACTCCATGCCAAACTTCGAAATTCCACGCTCGTCGAGACTGTATCCATCCTCTTCACCATTTTGTAAACTTGTCTTGATCCCTCTCACGTCCATCTCAAAGAGCTATCTCCCAGATTTTTGCTCCACGCTTTTCTCCCTCCTTCGGGTATAAATATCGGCGTGAGCGTGTATTTGGTGGTCAACTGAGGCCAGAGAAGGTCGAAGAGAGGTGTGGTCATTAGAATGAGGATGTCATTGGTCGTACTTGTAGACTTGATGAGACTTAGGTAGGAGTCGATCTCGTTGGGAGTGAAAATTTGACGTGGTGGAGTAATTTGAATCATTGCCTCGTGGGTCAACTTCTTTGATATTGCGAAATTTGACAGGACTTGGCTCTGAGAGAATATTTCACTGCCAGTTTTGTAGACACCACGTACTGGTGTTCAGTCTTGCTCTCCAGTCGTAATATCTGCAGGTTAAGGTTTCAATCGTCAAGCTTGATCTGCCCCTTCTGATGGCCATATCGACAAAACTTCTCAAACTAACTCAAAGTCGTGAAACAATTACGGCACTGAGTGGATATTTCATACTCAGGTTTGCAGGGATGCACCACCGACACATGACCAGCCTTAAACTGTCCTTAATTCTACACATAGCGAGATGATTAATTTTGTCGCGATCCACAATTCACCGACATTCCCTTCACCCTGTTAACCCTCGCACACAGTATGATGTGCCAAGACTTGAAATTTCCAATAGGTGGATGCCAATGGGCAAGAGACGATTGCTCTGTGAAGTAAAACATACCTGACAGTGATGTTTGCAAACAAAATCCAAGATCTGTGTGTCGAAAAAGTCAAAAAATTCATCAAATCGGTACATGTGTTACTGGTAGTGTATCATGGGTTTATGGCTAAATATCTATTGAATAACTAGAAACAAAGATAAAAACCAAAGTCGAGGATACCAAGTACAGCCACTTAAGCTTCTGTCTGTAGTAAAACTGTGACAGGAATAAGTAGGGTGGCTGTTAAGTCTCATAGCTCTGCTGCGTCGGACTGACTTCCTTCTTTGATCACTTTGGGAGGGCGGTTATATCTTCAGACTTTGCCCTAATGTGGATATCAGGGGAGACTCGCGCTGTGTATTTTTTTGGTGTAATTCTCGCCAGCTATAGACTGCAAATGGCTACGAATTGGATGGCTGAAGAGAGAAGATAGAGAGCGGATAATGGTCGGCCTACGTGAGAACTTCCTCACTGCCTGGAAGAACGGAATCTAAAATAAACCAATCGAGCATGCAAAATATTGCTAGATTCTCGAAGTACTCCATATCCATAGACCGAGATAGGACCGCGGTATAAATCTAATCTATATGAATACTTTGATGACGATCTGTAAGGGTATCATTGCTGGGCAAGGGCCGTAGTGAAGGCTCAGATACTCTTGGCCCGTGGCTAAGAAGGGACTCCATTTCCTCACATAATCTAGGACTCAAAAGCACTATTAGATATCATGATGTAGCTTGATCTTAATGCAAATTGACGAATGATGGATCAAACTGCTACTCCTTTTGGCTCGCTTCCGCTCAAAAAAAATATAGAGCGCACGACTCATGTCTTTGAATCTTGACTGGAAGATCGATTCATACCGCAGCCCGCCCAGCAAACAAGCTTTATCCCGTCAGGTTAATAGGCCTTCCTTCCGTGTGAGGCCATGGAGTCTGGCTGGCTGGAATTTTTGCATCAGATTTTAATTGCGTATGCAGCTAGATAGCCATGACACAATTTCAAAGAAAAGTACTGAATAGATGATTCGACACGGCTAGCTGGGACGTTGGTACGAGAAGCGACTAGTTGGCAAGCCCACAGCATATGCCGCGATGGATCGAATCCTATCCCTCTGTAGTCATCTGTGAGCCCAAAAAATCGTGGCGAGAAGTAGCTTAAATCGCATAATATCTTAGTCTTAATTAGGCCTCTATCACAGATTAACTGAGTCCAAAACTACAAAGTTATTTTGATAGCCATTCATGTCGCTTACTGTTTGATGGTAGTTTTCCAACTCATATCATTCGGTTTCACTCCACAGAAACTAAATCTCACCCTCACTTAGTCATGTGAAGACGCGAAAAATAGGATAATTATATTGTGCTAGCATGGTAGTACTCTGCGCGAGTAAATCGAATGGTATCCTAAATTAGGGAAGAAATTCAAGATTATGTTAATGATACAGCCCTTATGACTACGGCTCCCCTACATGGGCGACTTATATACACTGGTGGGACCTCATCTCTTTCCAGCTTTGTTCCTCCTCTTACAAGTCGAGACTAGATGGCGACAGCACTTCTCTTTAGCACAATATTTTGGCTGTACCTACGCGCTGCTTCAGCAACGAGTGGGTTACCGGATATATTCGTTCCTAGTACAAGTGGCTATTTGTGTAGTATGACAATCTTCGATATTAAATTCCTGAAAGAAGAAGCTGGGCGAGCTTTTAAGAAATTTACACACCAATCATTTCAGAGTGATTTTCCCGCCCTATTTGAGGACTCGTACCTATTCGGTAAATTCGATGAAATTCTTCTGGCATGGCCTCTTTCGTTTCCCGGAGTACCTTATGAAAATAGTAAAGCCCATCACTTATCAGATTTTAACCAAGGTTGCTGATTTGGTATTCAGGAGTACCTGGGAATTATCGTATCATCATAGATTCCAATGGCGAAGTAATAGGTGTGGTGACTGTAATCTATCCTGAAAAAGTATTACAACAAAAGGAGTTTCGCAGGTGTACACCAATACACAGCTTTAAGGATGGAAAAGATGACAAAGCTAAACTACACACCAAGCAGTTGGAGCGGAGATTTCGTTTCATGGGATACTCATGCAATGGAGAATTTCTAGAGGAGAGAGCTTTTAGCAAAAACCTGGATTTAATTAGGATATCGAATCTAAATAGTAAAACTAGATTCACCTGGGCGAAAAAAATTAGCAGATATGATGGCAAAGAATTTACTGGGAATAATCTCCTCGGGTTTCCTTTGCGGAAGTTGGATTCCAGTAACAAAACAAATGGTATTTATCCTCTCTTGACTGATATTTTAAATGCTAAACTGTACTTCTAGGCCCTCTTGACACACATCGAATAATTTTTCAACGCGGAAAAGATAATGAAATTTTAGTTAAGGGGGTTGTAAGCAAAAGCAGAAACAAAAGCAGCCCTGGGAAACAGTGTCCTAAATTATGGGATTTATCACCATTATTGGAAATAACTCCTGACGTCTCTTCTCCAATTTCTCGTAAAATAATATTGGCGAATAACGACGGAACCTTCACCTGCGCCAAGCAAGAGTTAAATATATCAACAATCCTGCTGCAAGTGCCTGTTGGAATGATTCAGGCGGAAAAAACAACAAAACCTAGCGATGAAAAGTATCCCATTCTACAGAATAATGCTTTGTGGCTCTGGCCCATACGCCTCCCAGAGTCGTATCGATGGAGTGAATATGTTCCCTACCATTTAATATCATACACTAACATTACAATTCTAGGTTTAGAGAAGTTGTTTGCAATAGGTTATAGCCTAGAATTTCAAGTTGTTGGATTGTTTTTTACCGATAATACCGACGAGAAAAATCCAAGGTTCTATGAATGTGGAAAGAACGAATTAAGTCTGTTAGCTTTTTGACTTTTGCTGCCAAGCATATTGTCAGATGCTCGGCTATTTAGCCTACCAAGAACATTTAATTATAAAGAGGTACCCTGTCCTCATCTAGATATGAGTTTTCAGTGGTCTTACCCGTTCGCATAAGTAATTTTGGTAAAACTCTAAAATAAAATGTCCAAGCTTTGTCGATGTTGCTTCTAGTCATGTCACCTGAACTGTGGGCGTGGTGAATATAACAAGCAGAAAGATTTTAACTCACACTTAACGCAATTACTTTCGTCGCCGGGATGAATGATGTTGAGTCGTTGTAGAGACTGCCTTGGCTTGACGAAACATGTAAACCTTAGAATGTAATGGGATTCAAAAACAACCGTCCATCAACTAATCCTCATCTAATCAGTTGTCAATATCAAAAAATGCACATAACAGCCTTGAAAATTCCTGATAGTTTTCAGCTAACGCTTCGGTGGTATTTTAAAAACCCGGCTAGAGGTCAAATTTGGGGCTATTGAAATATATTTACGACCCAGAGCGATAAGATAAGAGTAAGGATGTGGAAAATAATCATCTTCATGAATATGAAGAGAGATAGGTGGGCCACGGTTTGTCACTGCAAACTTTGGACAGAGATCTCTACTGTGCAAGAACTGATCAAGATAGATTTTTGCAAGGCTGAGTCAAAATTCAAGAATTACATTCTGTATAACGAAAGAATTACTTCAGCTACAAATTGAGTGCCGGCTAGGTCCTGAGTAATCACATATACCTTGACTATCCAATTAGGTCACGTGAAAATGTTTACAAATCAAATCAGATAAATCCTATTCCAGCTCTACAAGACTGTAAGCATGTAACACCTACTGCTACGGATCAAATCTACATTGTGTATAGGTTTTCTCATGTCATTTTACTCTCTCCGAAAATGTGAGAAGGTGGTAACGCCCCTCTGCCTGTTATGGCCAGGCATCGTCGAAGAAGGTCCAAAGAGAGGCTTCTCGTGAAAACTCTAATAGTTAGAGGTAGAGGGGCTGGAGTCATGAGCACATTTTGCTATAGCCTCAGTTGGGTTCTAGTACTGTCATCAGCTAGACTTCAGAAAGCTGGAGCTGCCACAAAGCGGCTCTCCAGCTACTCAATCTTAAGTTATCAGACTACTTCGCTTGCTCCGTAACTTGACTTCTTGACTAGTCTCTCCCGACCTTGAACATCGGGCACCTCGCTTGTATAATTATGATAATTATTATTATTATTTCATTTTATTGTCCTGTCTGAGTCTATGACTATGTAGAACATGCAGGTCCTTTCTGCCTACAGGCCAAGGATACCTATACCAGTAGTATATCCCCTCCTATGCCTCCCATACAGCTCCCCTAAAACGGTACCACCCCTCACAAATCCTCATTCGATCGTACACTAACAGGAGCCCTTTGCCCTTCATTATCTCCCCTCTCCAGCCAACGAAATAATGGCCATTTGCGGGTGTATGGCAGCATGGAAAAATCGCAAAAAACCACTGGGTGCGGGGCTCTTCTTGTACTGACATTAGTACTAAATCCGAAGACATAGTGATCATTCTGAAACGTTTGAAGAGGCCGGCAAACTGGGCGCTGCAGACTTGTGGGTACCTCGGGAAATTCACCCTCTGACTTTCTAGCCCCCTTCCAACTCCTTCCCATAGGTCGTGCTGAAATGTCAGAAAAGTCTTGACGGAGCGTGATTGCTGTCTAGTAGCTTAGCCCAACTTCTTTTGTGCCGTCCAGGGTGTTCGAGAGTGCCGTTGACTCATCAATAATCGAAGTCCTCCAGTCTAGTTAGCCGAAATCTCGGTCTTGGCGCCCACAAACTTTCGAAAATTGAAAACCTCTCGAAAATGTCAGTCCCAGTATGGTCTTCAGAGAAGTCTTTCCCCTCTCGCTCCACATCTCAGGCGCCTCTCCTCCCTCAAGTTGATTGTCCCATTCGAGCAACAGTCCCCCGTGGGCCAAGACCCCAACTACGTATTTTTCGACTTCATTTCCTCCTTGCGGGTATAAATAACATCGTAAATATATAGTGAGAGATGGCTGGAAATTAATGGGGTAAGCTCCTGTATGAGATTCTTCTTGGCTATGCCAGATATGTAGAGCATACTGAGCCATCACACCGGCACCACTGGAAGGTGAAGAATGCGCTAGCGTAATTATCTCTGAGTGTTCTTCATTTTTTTTTGCATCTCGTTTGTTTATACAATTGGTTATTACTGCATTATCTTTCGTAGACGGCAACATCCAGCATCATTAGCGCACACCGTTACACTTTTTCCCTCTGACCCTCGTGTTTCGTCTCTATTCTTACAATTATCGCACATCCTCTTGAGACCTAGAACATACAATATTATTACGGGTTAAGTAGTAGGCTTGACCCTCACTGTCCATGAGAACATAGTTAAAAATTGTGAAATTGGAAAGGAAATAATATAAATAGTATCTTATTTATAGATTCTAAGAGTCCTCTATAGTCATTGACTCAGTTAGGACTATAATATTAATCTAATCTAATCTACGGGGTAAGTAGTGTATGGGTCGAAGAAATGAACATCATCATTTGGTCAAACGCGGAGCCACGTTCCACGAACGTTATTTCATCAATCCAATTGTTGTTCCCTTTTTTTCAATCCTTATCTGACTCACCAATTTTTTCACGTCACGCTTCGGCATGGCGAGTTGGGGAGCCAGAAAAGCGGATTTCACGAAAGAATAAATTATTACGGCGCCACAGCCACCACCAACGGCGGCGGAACCACCGCAATAACGGCTGTTGAGTCTCTCGCGACCTACACAAGCGTCACCATAAATACTTTGAAGATAGTAAGGATTTTATTTAAACAAGTTCAAAGACAGACTAGTGATAGCAGACGCTGATAAATCTGCGACACCGATGGTCGAGATAGGTGAGGCACTTGATGCCTTCAAAGCCCGCGCCACGATGCTGAAATCAAGGCTGAAGGCTTCATGAAGGGAAGAACGGATGCTGGCCTTAGAGAAGGTAGCCACGAAGAATCTCGAGGAGGGCAAGACTGAACATCTGTATGCGGTGCCTTCTACGAACCTAGGACTGAAATATTCTCCCAGAGCCAAGTTCAGTCAAATTTCGCAATATCAAAGAATTTGGCCCACGAGGCAATGATTTAAATTGCTCCACCACGTCGTTTTTTCGCCCCCAACGATTTTGACTTCTTCCTAAGTCTCATCAAGTCTACAAGTACGACCAATTACATCCTCATTCTAATGACCACACCTCTCTTCGACCTTCTCTGGCCTCAGCTGACCACCAAATACACGCCCACGCCGATATTTATACCCGACGGAGGAAGCAATGCGTGGCACACAAATCTGAGAGACAGTACTTTGGGATGGACGTGAGAGGGATCAGGACAAGCTGACAAGATGATGCGGAGGAAGGATATAACTTCGAAGGTCGTGAGATTCCGAATTTTGGGATGGATTTTTTTCGAATTGGGCTTTGTGCGCGCCAAGACTTCGCTTGCGAGAGTGCAGCTGACACTATAAACACAAGCAAACGATGGCTGAGCGCTCCTCTTGTAAATTGAGTCATCTTTTCTGTACTTTTCTTTGATAGTGTGACATAGCTAGATAGCTGCATACGCAATTAAAATCTGATGCAAAAAAAAAAACAAATGTACAAATGTAAGCGACACGTAGCCTAAGCCACAGCATAAACGAGTGTGGCGCCATCTAGGCATAGTAAGCCCCCAATAACCTCCTTGTGCCCACGCCATGCAGCCGCTCATGTCTCCAATAGGTAGCCTGAAGCGCTACCATATTACCTACTCTAACCTCTTAAATACACGAGATAGTGTTGGGAACCTGGACGAAATGGAGGGCCCATACGTCCACAACACTCCGTGTCTTCATTTCCAACAGGAGGTATATCCTACGGGGCCTAGGTTGCTCTGGTTACTATGATGTATATATCAGGATCGTTGGCTTAGTTCGGAGGGCACGGGTCAGAACGGGTCGGAGTCGGAACAGGACGAAGGCGGGGTATAAAGTAAAGCTTATACTAATCGTATCAATCTAAAGTCTTTAAAAATTACAAGACTATAAGCTACAGAACAAATTCAGTTCCAGACCTTCCTTGTTACGGTTTGACCGTTGTTTGAGCTTAGGCGGATACCTAAGCCTAATACTAAGAATTCTTTCGATGAAGCTGAACGAAACGGCACTACTAGTCACGAGGCTGAAGCGTTATCACAACTTACTGACACCTGGAAATACGTGGCTGGGTAAGAAGTATTGTGCCTAAGGACAAGTCACTAGTCTGTAGATTCACGAGGAGGATTTGTTTAAGATTTAATCTATCCATAACTCTGAGCTTGATGATGGCCAGAAAGACGAAGAATATTATGACCTGTAACTTAAGATAGAAGGGCGAAAAGGGCATTGATTAGAAGATAGGACCGGCATAGTAAGGGGTGATTAGCCCAGAGTAGATATGGGCATTATGAATGTAGTCGGAAGCATCATCATATTAAAGAGGAATCAAGTGCGCGATATATATATACACGTGTCATATCCCTGTCACTAATTACCAGACCCCGCACTGCCATAAACACCATCAATCTCTGCTATCCATCGCAATCCTGAGTATCATGTCAGGAACTCTTGGGACTTGGTTACTTAACTTGAACTGGAGGTGCTAAATCTTTGGCTCTTGATGGTAAAGAAAATATAACAACAATAAAAACTTGGTTCTTGATTCTTGATTCTTGATTCTTGGGTATCTAGGGAATAGTACAAGACTGAAAGCTGAAGAGCTTTCGACATGAAGATACCTCAGCTACTTATACTACAACACTATCTGCTACAGACTACAGTAATCTAGTTCCAGTCCGATTCCTGTCGAAATCCTCAGAGTAACTTAGAATCTGATCGAAGCCCATTGAACTGGTAAGAGTACAAAATACCATCCCGAAACATCTAGAAATAATTGCCAGAGTAGCTTAGAATTCCATCGAAGTA